CGACGCTGTCAATCAAATTATTTTTTTCAAAATTTAACACTATAAGATATGGGGAAAATCTGGATTCAGGATATTTTTTTTTTCATCTGCTTGACCACAATATTTTTTTTTATCAAATTGGGGATCAGAATATTTTTTTAGAAAAAAAAACATAGAAATTTTTGGATAATTACAGTCTTACCTTTTTTGTGCTTATTGATGCAAAATATTTCAATATAATAATAAACTCGCCAGAGGCTCGTTTATTATTATATTGAAATAAGATAACTCGAGTTGATATCAAGCGATATCCCATTCTCACTCGTTATGAAACCTATAATTATCAGCAATTATTTAAAAATAAAATGTGGAACATTTAAAGTATTTTAATAATCATATTAACCAATATTTTTTGCCATAAATAGCTTTTTAAATTCCAACTTTATTTTTAGGCCTTTCTTATAATGTAACAATTCTTTTGTCTTTTCCGACATATTTTGAGCTATTATAAGTCATATACTAATTATTAGGTAAGTATTAAGGTTTTATAAGTCCACTACCTAAATTTGCACGTTAGTTAAATCATGTAATACTATTTGAATTGCAAAGTACTGATTTTAAATGACACGTTTACAAGAACAAATTTATAATTTACACACTATACAAATTTAATATAAATTTGATCTTAACCGCTGATATCAGTTATTAAATAAATTACTTTTGTAAGAGGCGGCTTAGGAAACTGCTTTATTGATGCATCGTTAGGTTTATTTTTCAAATAATTGATTGTGGTGTATATTTTATCGTTCTCTTATTCGTCGGAATTATATATAATTCTTAATTTTATCAGATATTGGAATAAAATGTCTCTTTTCCGTTTATTGAACCCAAAAAAAAAGCACATCAAGTAACTTATCTGTACATTTAAGTACACTTCCGTTTTTTTTCCACCGGATTGACATTAAAATGTACTAGCTATATGTTCTACTTTAATCTTGGAGTTGGTATTTTTGTCATACTTTTTAAATTTTGTTCAATCTGATGCTAATAATGCCTTGTATTAAAGTTTTTTTTGTGATGAAATTATTCAGCAACATATTCTTGTACAAATCGGGGTTTTACTTATATGAGCATCATTACGCGTGCCACATGTGGAGCAGAATCTGTCTACCTTTTTGGATTCCCTGAAATGACCCCCGGATTTTGGTGGGGTTCGTGTTGCGCCAGTCTTTAGTCTTTTATGTTGTATTTTGTATACTGTTGTTTGTCTTTTGGTCTTTTTCTTTTTTTTTTTGACAAGGTGTTGTTCGTTTATTTTTGACTTATGAGTTTGAATGTCCCTTTGGTATCTTTCGCCTCTCTTTTAAGTAAAAACAAAATTAAATCAGTAACTAAACATTATACGATTTTATTAAATTAAGGCTACAGTAATTTACCGCTGTCCAAGTCTTATATATATCGATTAAGAAGATGCAATCCAAGGTAACAAACAAATACTGATGGAATCCATAAAATCGTGACGCAAAACCTGCACCAACAGGGTTATGAGGATGCACGACAAAAATCCACACTACATAAGTGTTACGATCACCATCACGTACGTATAGGTTGTCCGTTACCACGAGTCTGTGTATCAACTCACTGATTGTAAATAATTCCTATTTTAATTTCCTAATTTGACAAATCTACCGGTGTAGTTGTCATACGACCTGATCATAGTGATTTAGGAATACGCCTGCCGTCTTTTTCAAAACAGTTTTCATCAGGGTAAACGAAAAGAGACAAAATAAAATGAAGGAAAAAAATGAAAAAAACAGGATGGGCGAAAGAGGCAGAAGATATACAGACTGAAAAATTACAAAAAGGAATGTCTACAACATCCGGTATTCCCAGGCGGTCACCCATCCAAGTACAAACCGAGCTGGACGCTGCTTAACTTCGGTGATCGGAAAAACCGCTGTTTATATAGCGTACACTACAGTGACTAAAATAAAGCTGTATTAAGCTAAGAAACGCCGGAAGTGTATGGGATCATTATTACTTTGATATTGAAAATAGAAATTATTTTTGACATAGGATTTTTATACGGAAAACTTATAAAACTACTGAAGTTTATAATCATATGAGATCGATGAATGGTCGTCTTTATCAGTTAAACTTGAAGTACAGTTTTTCTTTTGTAGTTTCTGTCCTCCTTATTATTATTTTTCAAGTTCACATGATGATTTCAAGGATATGTGCGAAAATAGTAACGAAGTCAACGAATTGCATGGGTATTAAAATTCTCAACTACATACGCATCCATGGCCAAATGGATAAGGGCAATGGCCTCCTAAGCCGGGGATTGCGTATTCGAGTCCCGTCGGAGGTAGACATTTTTTACTAGCCTTACAAAATATTCTATATGCTTACTAAACGTTTGGTTTCAGCGTTTCTGATGAAGGTAAATGAATATAGACATAGTACATTTGATATGTGTTCTGTTTATTTATCAAATATTTCAATTCATAAAATTCCTAGTCTCAGAACACACTATTTATATTTACATTTATTTCAAACGATAATTTATTTACAAACATATTGAATAACATAAAATTTGAATAAAACTGATTTTAAGTCATAAAGTTTGATTGATACATAAAGTTCGGCGAGTTACGTTTGCGTAAATTACGTTTGCGCGACAAAACGCAGTACGTTTGCGCAAAATTTACCCGTTAAAAAGTCGCTACGTTTGCGCGGATTAATTTTAAATTTTATTTTATAAAAAAAAAAAAAAACCATTGACTGTTTATAAACAAATTATGATTTCTGAATTTAAACAAATTATGATTACCGAAACTAAACAATTTACTTATAATTAAAAAAAACCTAAATTACCATTTAATTTCTAATGGCTATTGAAGAAACAAAACATACCAACAATGGGCTAAGAGTTTTTTCACAGCCATTACAATAAACAGTTTTATTCTACTCATCCAGCCATCTACAGCTTCATTGAGAGTATACTGCATGTTCAGGCGATTACTTACATTCAAATTCGCGGTAACGATAACCAAGCTCTTGTAAAGCGCAAATACAAAGAGAAATTTCAGTTTATCGTTCAAAATGTTTTGATATTTCAAACTGTGAGAATTTCCCGCCAATATTATCTGAAATCCCTATCGAACAAAATTTAGTACCAGGCAAGGACTGATTGATAAACGGTTCCCGTAGATATCATACTAGTATATATGTATACTGTGTTTTATTCATGACTATATACTTTGAATGTTTCATTCCAGGATATTCACTGTATTTCATTTAAAACTTTTCTTGTACATAAATGTAGTGCTTTTACTTTGAATGTTTCATTCCAGGATATTCACTGTATTTCATTTAAAACTTTTCTTGTACATAAATGTAGTGCTTTTAAATGCTTATAAAAACAAACAAGACTTCTCTGATATATATTTATTAATATAAGAAATAAGAAGATGTGATATGATTGCCATTTTATGTTCAAAACAATAAACGAACAACAAATAACCAACGAGATAACTCATTTTCAAAAACAAAAACATACAAATCAGGTTGTTCTCAGGATTAAATCACAGGTAAAAACTCAGGTAAATTTACAAGTAAATTAGCGCAAACGTAAAACCAATTCTTCGCGCAAACGTAATGCTTGTCATATTCAAATTCGCGCAAATGTAGGTCGTCCATAAAGTGGTATGCTCTGTTCGAATACAAAATCCAATACAATTCATTCCGTTTAGAAATTCTGAATTGAATCTGAGTTTGGTAATTTTTGTTATTCTACTTTTTTCCATGTGTAAAACTATATATAAAGAACAAATTTTGTTTTAGGTACATTGAGCAATTATGCCATACCAAGATTACCAAAACCTATCCTCTTGAAGCATCCCTTTATGTGTATTTTGTGGTTTATTGCTGTTTATTGTTGTTCTGTTTTTACACTTTCTGATTTATTATTTGCTCAAACATTCACTCTTTGTAGAGAGTTTTTATACAAAACGGAAAAGACAGTTTTTTTTCTATCACACATTCTAAGACGAATAGGACAGCTAATCAAAAGATCACTGTTTTATGTTTAACCGCCCTCTGATCTGTTTTTTTTTTTTCTTCTAATACCTCAAACCATAATTATAAGCAATTATAAACACACCGTGGTTTTTAAAGGCAGTTGTAATGCGTTATTAACCCATATTGTCAGAATATTTAGAGTTTTCCTCTCTTTTCACTAAAAATGGCAGTCATGTTTGCAGGCGAGTTAGGTCCATGAACATTTGTTTTTCAAGGAATCAAACGTGTTCTATAACGTAAAGTTTAGTAGCAGTCGGTATTTGTTTATCACTTTTGAAGACTGTTGAAATGTCTTGGTCAAATGTGGTACTCTTAGAATAGTTTATCAGTGTTACATAGCATTTGGTACCTTTTGATCAATATTTTTAAACAGGATCACTTGTTTGTCATAAAATTTTAAATAAAGGTTGAGAATGACCCTTAAGCTGATAAAGATGAAGTTTGTTCAGGAATACTTTTCTGTCTATTATGATATATGATAATGCAATGACTGGCGGAAAACATAATTGATTGCATCATTTATAAATTACCTGTACGTCAAATGAATATGATCTTAGCTGGTGGGAAGGTTTCGTTATCTTTTGACAATTTATCTTAAAGTATACAATTTATTTTAAGTGACTCTGTCAAAATCAGCTAGATACAAGGATATAATCTTACAATTGGTTATAAGTAATCTGTTGTTGTCCTAGTCGTGTAGGGTAGTTAAACAATTAAGAATAGAAGTTCATTGCAAGGGCATAATGAAGGAAAATTAATGGGCCCGGTGATCGAAAAGACACATATTTAATGAGATACCAAGGTTTATTGGACATTATTCTAAAAACTCGAAAAAACTAATTTAATGATGCAAAATTAGAGAGAACACACCAAAGGGACATTGCAAAATCATAAGTTCAATAAAACTGACAACACCATGGTCCAAAATAGATATGACGAAAATACAAACAGTTTATAGGAAACAAACAAAACATTGAGCAACACAAACTGCATGCAACCTACCGACACAGAAATATGTCAGTTAACTTACGCAATGACACAACTAACAACTGAGTAATGTAATACAATTTGTCATGGTCTATTTTGCGTTTATATAATTTAAGACTTGTCATCATCATTAAAGTTCCTAAACGTATAAGTACATTGATATCGATCTAAACAAAACATCCACATTCCATGGAGGCACATGGACCTTTGTTTTCTTTTATACGTGTATTATATGGTACCTCGCTTAGATTTATAGAAAATACACACTAGTCTAATGGAAAGCAAAAGTAAAAAAAAAAAATATACATATATATATATATCAATCTTCAGTAATGTTCCACTGCTGAACGTCTTCCAAGGACACAAAGTCATCGCCATTGTCCTTCCTATTAATAGAACGTATGTCATCCTCATCTGAACTAATGAGCGGTTCTGCTTTTGCTGAAAAATCGACATCTGCATATGGTGTTCTGTTATCAGCTCCATGAATGTAAAACTTTCCGATACATGGTTTGGGTTCAAAGACAACATCAATATAATTCAGTTTTGATGAACCTCTTTCCTGAAATAGAAAAATAAACACTGTATACATTTGTTGCGTTACATTAATGAATCCATATTGGAAATATGTACAGAATTTTACGCATATTTAGTGAACAAAAGTACATGATATACAATGTTAGCCTACACATTATAAAATTCCTTTATATATCGCCATCAACTATATATATCATACAAATGGGAATCCACATTTGCATATTACGAAATCGAAATCAATATATGAATTCCCATGTAAACAAAAAAAGGTATATTTACGTTGTTTCTGTTTCTTTCTTTTCTGTCTGTACGCCGGAACTTTTCTACAATAAATACAAGAAATGCTCGAATCATCATGATAGCGATTGCGATAGAATGAACAACAAATATTAAGTTAGTGAATCAAATAATATCAAATACAAAAAACAACAACTCATTTTCAATTTGCACGCTTGATAATTAGAATTTTTTTTTTAGAAAATATGAGTCACGTTGTCGAAATTTACACACAATGTGTTCTTTATATTTAACACATTTTCCTGCTTGGATATTGTTTTTTTCAAAGTTTCTAGAATATTTTCCGAACTCTAAATTATTCTGAAGCAATCGATTAATGTTGTATTCTAATAAAATGCAAATGAGTTTAATAATAGAGGGCAGAGCGTTTTATAATTTCTAACCAGTATTGGATGTTCTATGGTACGTAATAAAATAAGCAATTTGCAGACTTCAGTTTCATCATAGTTTTGAAACTTAACAGTTTCTGTAAGTTCTCAAGATAATTGATATACACCGAGTCCAAGGCAGCCTAGTATTGACTATTTTCATCTTTTGATCTACTTTGGATTTTTTGTAGGATAGAGTGTTTGTTTATATTTTTTGCTGATCCTTCAGTTTTTTATGTAAGTATCAATATAAGTCAAATAACGTCAAAATTATATCAGGATTACAGAACTTTTCTGTCTTTTGACTTATAACCAGCGTTTATCTAAACTCGTATTATACCAACTGCTGCGGCAAACGAAAAAAGTTGTGCAATACTTTGCAATTCATTTAGCCTTTTAACTTCTTTTTCTTAGTATCAGTGATGGTTTCTTTTGTAGACGAAACGTGCATCCGGCGTACAAAATCTTTGATAGTTCTTTTTCAGAACACTTATTGTTGATTTATCACAATATAACACACTTAAATCAGATGCAATATGCTTTATACACCTAAGACACAATGTGAAAAAAGGACATTACTCAAATTACAGATATATACTTGATAAATATAAAGACACAATTTATATTGTTTAGTTGTCCGAACGAGCTACACCTTATTTCTGTATTTGTTTTACCAACAAAGTACCAAATACTAACTAGTTTTTCCTTCTCCTGCAATCTTGTACGTCACTTCCTGAATGTCCAAATTTTGCCTGTGTCTCTCAATCGATGAATATACGTCTTCTCTACTAGCAGATGCTGATGGATCAACTGCAGACCCGTACATATTATTAACAATTACACCAACTCCTAAAACAAGCATTAATTGGTTTTCAAATCTCATCAAAATAAAGTAATTTTAACAAACTTTAAAATTGTTTCATACAAAATAATTACAATGGTGTAGATGTCTGCTTAGAATTAATTATTGTGAAACATAGACAAAAATAAATCATATGTATAAACCTATTAAATGAAACTGATCTAGAACATGAATTCTTGTACAGGCGAAATATTTCTATTGGTGCTGGTTTATTTAGCTTCACCAATAGCAAGTAATTAAAGTTATTATTACTCGTTTATATGTGCCAATTGGGATTGAAAGGTCGAGTAAACAAACAAAATATTTTTGCACAAGTAACTATCGCTCGTAACGTGATGCAGAGGGCACTATCATGTCCTCGTTGTGGTGCGACCACATGGCTTCATCACATGCGAGCGTTGTAAATATCGTGTAATGAAAACTTGAGTTTGTTCTTTTGGTGTTACCATTAAAGAAATAAATTTATGGACATTGATAACATGAGCTATAAACTTTACCTTGTATTTGCTGTTCGTTTGGGATAGACCTGCAGCAAAACAAAAAGATAAATATGATGGAGATCACTTATATGTACACACGTAAAATGCTTTATCATTTCCAAATTGTCACAAACAGATATATGATGAAATTGAGACCATTTGATCATGTTTATATTTTCTTTATTAACACAATAAAGGTACAGAATGATTTACACCATTATACCTAGTGTTACTGGTTTGTTTTCACTTTGGTCAAATGAAATAAAAAATGGATTTAATGAAACTTAAAGTTGCTGATATTGCGAATGAATTGTCAAATGGATATAGAGACGATTATAATTACCACAAAACATGTCGTAAAGACAACACTGATAATTCTTTAATAAAATAAGACACGTTGTTATTATGATGCCACCCTTATGACCGTCTTTCCAATAATTCGTGTCATAAAATATCACTATGACTAACTGTTTTTTACCCGAAATATGCATTATTATTAGTAGAATAAGGAGAACGAAAAAAGGACAAAAACAATAACAACTATTTAAAAACATTACTTCGAAAAACAAAAGCTTGAGTAACACATTTTTACTCATGGTAAATACAATTTCGTTGAGAAGTCTCAGACGGCGATGTCACATTAAGAAAAAAAAAGATAAGGGTACGTTGGACATACAAAGATTTCCCATGGTTGTGTAATTCCTTTTACAGAAGTGCCTGAAAAATGTTTTTCAATAATTATAAGTCGGCATTCATTGATCATGGTTTACTTAAAAATAATTTAATTGTGGATGTAACGCGTCTTCTGATTGGATGACAGTGTTGTCTATCAGTTCATATACATAATTTTGTCATGTGACCGTGACGTCATCAACGTTCTTTCATGATTTATTGCGACTTAAAATGAAATTTATAATTAAATTATTAGGCATGACTGTAATATGTTTCCTTTCTATTCGAACAAACATAAAAAATCTGGTGCACACTTAAAAATAAACCGCTAAGCGGGTTATGCAGTGTGCACCAAATTTTTAATGTAATTTCTTCAAAGACAGAAAAAATATTACAGTCAGTCCTTAAATGAAAACAAAAACAAATTCTATTGATTAGCTATTTGGAAAAGATAACGTTCATTGATCTTTTCTTATCATTTTCTTAATTTGAAGTGTATAGTTACATTTTTCAAAGATGAAAACAGTAAAAGATTTAAGATTGATAATTCAGTTATTGTAATTGAACTGATGTTTCAATTCCGTGAGCTATAGACAGTTTTTTTCAATTATCTGCCTTAGTTTGTGACGCGACTCCTAGGCGTCGTTGTAGTACGATCGCCATTACAACCGTGAAAAAAATGTAAACAAGATATACATCTATTTCCCAGACCGCATATAATTAACGTAAACACAAGAATGTGAAGCGTAATTGACCTCGGCAAACTTACAAAATAAATAATAAAGTAATTAGTTAAGGAATGGACATTAAAACTATAAGTGTATTGCAGGCCAGGTGTCGTGTCCTTAAAATATAACTCACGGTATTTGATACGTTAGAACAGGGACATAATATTTGCGAATACGAATCCCAGGTTACATATCGATTATAATCATTTGGTAATCATAGTATTGATTATTATAACACATACATAAATAAAAATAGATTGTCTTGCTGGTCGAATATGATATATCAGAAAAACCAGGTGCAATTTTATCAAACTCATAGAAATTTCTGTAGTCATGCAAACCTACAATGAGGCAGTCCTAAAATTCAACAATCTTCTAATCCGACGGTCATATATTCGACAACCTGTTTTCTCCGGCGCGCGGTTACTTACATCTTCTGAAAAAAAATTTACCTATAGACATGTACCGTTTGATGATAAACTATTTCACAGAAAGCTTGTGGTTCGACTCACGTATAATGCTCAAAATTGAGTGACGTTTTCGTATCACTTTTGTCTCCGCATGAATTGTGCTATATGCTATCAGTGCGTCGGGCCATATGCAGACTTAACTTTGCGATTTAATTGGGCCGAAGAAGTGTTGAACTTTCACGGCCCATGTTGTCATATAGTTATTAGGTGTTCAATTCCAATTTCTTTTGAAGAAAAATTACTTGACATAAAACTACTAGTATGCATAGTATTACATCATGCTCCGGCCCGTGCTGAAAATAAATGACTGTCATTAAACCACATAAGACGCAAACATGTAAATTAAAAGCAATGATTAGAATTATGTTTTAAAAGCGTCATGTAGTGTTTTGCCAACTCCCCCTCCCCCACCTCAAACAGAGGTCTCGTATATTTTTTTCCTGAATCTGTATTAGACTCCTTTATAAGTCCCCGATAAAAATAATGCAGTGAAAAACAGAATTACAGTATTACATTAGGGATGTATATTGGACCATCCGACTAAAGTGAATATATACTTTAAGCACACATTCCTCCATATATGGACCATTAAGACGAGGTTTATAGAGAAGTGCCCTTAATAGTAAATTTTGCTGTGATTTGTCTATGGATGCAGCTGTTTGTAAAACCTTTAAGTTTTTCAGCAAGAACTGGCACCAAGGAATAGAATAGTTCATAAGCCTTAATTACTTTTCGAAATATGAAAGCGCCGTCCCAAATAACCAAACATCAAACTAAGTGTTAACCTCATCAGTACGATCGAGCAACAGCTGATCTGCAATATCGTAGTTGAAAAGTAAATTGTGTATTTATTCCACTAAAGTACAGAAAACTTAGTTACATAAGACAAATATACAATAAGGCGTCACTGTCATTCATAATATGTCTATATACGCTGACGTGGTTTCCTGATTTTATTCCATTTTGAACTCCTTACTCCTCTGCTAACAATATGTTTGTCTGAGTTAATGTTGTCGGAACGTCTGTACATTTTGCAGCCTAAAGATAGTCGTCATGTATAAAAAACAAATCGTCTCTTCATACTTGTTTGATTTGCATCCAATTATAAAATTGAGAATGGAAATGGGGAATGTGTCAAAGTGACAACAGCCCGACCATAGAGCAGACAACAGCCGAAGGCCACCAATGGGTCTTCAATGCAGCGAGAAACTCCCACACCCGAAGGCGTCCCTCAACTGGCCCCTAAACAAATATGTATACTAGTTCAGTGATAATGGACGTCATACTAAACTCCAAATTATACACAGGAAACTAAAATTAAAAATGATACAAGACTAACAAAGGCCAGAGGCTCCTGACTTGGGACAGGCGCAAAAATGCGGCGGGGTTAAACATGTTTTTTGAGATCTCATCCCTACCCCTATACCTCTAGCCAATGTAGAAAAAACAAACGCACAACAGTACGTACAGTAAAACTCAGTATAAGAGAAGTCCGAGTCCGATGTCAGAATAGGAAACAAAAGAAAATAAACAAAATGACAATAATACATAAATAACAACAAACTACTAGCAGTTACTGACATGCCAGCTCCAGACCTCAATTTAACTGATTAAAAGATTATGTCTTCCTCATATGAATATCAGGCACAATCCCTCCTGTTAGGGGTTTAGTATTATACCGTCATAAAATATATGAGAAGAACATAACCTGTGTCATGCCAACAACCGGTTTTAGAATAAATGTGTTTAATTCCGATGCAAAGACCCTATAAGTGAATTACTATTAAAGCCAAAATATGCAATCTTTAATGACCTGACAACAGTATCGTAACTATATCCCTTCTTAATAAGTCTGTTTAAAGGTTTTGTTAGCTTTTGAGGTAAATACTGACATTTTTGTGCTTTGTAAAGAATATTACCATAAAAGATTGGATGTGAAATACCCGAACGTATAAGATATCTGCATGTTGAGTTATATTTACGAATGATGTCCTTATACCGATGATACAATTTAGTAAATGTTTTGACTAGTTTATGATATCGAAAACCCTGGTGTAATAATTTTTCAGTAATACATAAATTTCTCTCGCTAAAATCTAATACGTTGTTACATACACGAGCGAATCGTACAAGTTGAGATATATAAACACCATAAAATGGTGACAAGGGAACGTCACCATCTAAAAATGGATAATTAACGATAGGAAATGAAAAATCATCTCTTTTATCATAAATTTTTGTATTAAGCTTCCCGTTAATGATATAGATATCAAGATCGAGGAAAGGACAGTGGTCATTGTTAGTATTAGCTTTATTTAAAGTAAGTTCAACAGGATAAATTTCTTTAGTATACATACTGAAGTCGTCATTATTGAGACCCAATATATCATCCAAATATCTAAAAGTATTGTTAAATTTTTGTATCAGATGTTGTTTCGATGGGTCTTTGCTGATTTTAGTCATAAATTGTAACTCATAACAATACAAAAACAGGTCCGCAATAAGTGGTGCACAGTTAGTCTCCATTGGAATTCCGATAACTTGACAATATACGGAATCTCCAAAGCGAACAAAAATGTTATCAAGTAAAAATTCAAGTGCAGATATAGTATCAAAGCATGTCCAATTGACCTAGTTCTTTTGTTTGTTGCTACTAAAAAATGACCTTAAAGAGTTTGAACATATGTATTCGCATTCCGACTTTTTAAATGCCCATTTAATTAGGTGTGTGAATTTTTCTTAATAAGAATATGAGGCAAAGTGGTATATAGGGTAGAAAAATCAAAACTTTGAACCGATTCAAAATCACCAATATATGCATGCAATTTATCAAGTACTTCCATCGAGTTTTTGACACTCCAAAAGTAATTAATTCCACTATTTTCAAAGGCTTTATTTGAACAATTTATTATCAGGTTTTTGATTGTACCAAGTGTACTAGTAAGTAGAATAGACAATTTAGTAGTGGAACAATGACTTGAAGACGAAAAAAATCTATATTTGTAAGGTGATTTGTGTAGCTTCGGAAACCAGTACATAGTTGGGACTTTTATTGTATTTGGTTCTGCTTGTAAAGAAGTAGCTAATAGTTTATGTTTGTTACAGATATCGTTTTCTGAAAATGAAGTCAGTTGGAATGTTTGTGAATATAACTCCATGCATGTAGCCTCGGGGTAGGTTTCATTGTTATTATCTAAAGAAATGTACAGGAACGGATTTAGGGGTGCCCATGACCCCTTATGAAGCTTCATTCATGGTTAATTCAGACTTTTTACCGCTTCCACTACAAATTGTGTCTTGTTTGGGGAACCGCGGCCCCCCTTTCAAAATCCTGGATCCATCTGATGTGTAGATCTTCTATACAAACAGAGGCAGATACACTGTAGTCATCGGATTAATTTTCATATATAATTTCGTTTGACGACGTGTCAACATTTGTCTGCCAGTGTAATTTTACTTTCATAAAAAGTTTTATTAAAAAAAAGTATTGTGTGCAGTCGGCACAACTTGTATAGTTCACATATTTTATTTATTGATTTTTTTGCACATCTTAAATTTACTACAATTATTTGTATAACTATTAACTGCACAAGAAATGCCTCCACCTTTTTTATAACTTTCGGCAGTATCCATAGTGAAATAAATAAGAAAATGAAGGAAATACAAATGTAAACAGAAAATCGATTATGTTTTGATCAATACACGTGCGTTATTTTTTACGGTTGTAATGGCGGATCGGTCACGTGAGAGGTTAATGGATGCGTCCATGTTTTCTAGGTCAATTATGGATAAACGGGTCTATATTTGCCTCTGTATCTTTTCTGTTTTGATTGACTGGGTACTCCTAAATGTTTAACTTATTTGACTGTTCAAACGTCATGATGATGATTAACATGAACAAGAATCGTGCCTATTCAAGGTAAGGTTGATATCTTACCTTGAATATTATAGAAACAATGTAAAACCCTCGTAAAAGTGAGGCGTCCGTTTGGTTGTGCGGTATGTACAAATTTGCAGCCACCTTCCTGTCAGAATGGGGACGTTAAATCCGATGCCTCGTGTAAAGAGAGTGCCACGCTCATTGCACTTTAAGAACCCTTGCAACCACTCTTTCAGGGGTCCGTAGGTGACCTGTGACAATGCTAAATTTCTGTCCCTACCCAATATGCCCTCATTTCCCGTGACAGTCCAAATATCTCCTACCTTATTCCCGGACGCCTCTATTACAGAACCTACCAATTGTATTTATTGTTAATTTGTTCTCGTCCTGAATATGCATGAAATATTTGCCACTGGACGTTAAACAACCAACAATCAATCAATCAATCAATTAATTTTATTCACCTGTGTATTCCCTTTTTGCACCTCTTGGTTTATGCACACGACAAATCACTTTTCATAGCCACTGTTTTTAAATTGAAATAAAAGTAAAGGAATGAAAGAAAGAAATAGATTAATGTAGATTATTAAAAATTACATACTCCCAATGCAAGAAAGATCGTGTCAATTTGGACAAAATTAGTAACAGTATAAAAATAAATTAGTGTAACTGAAAAGACATTAATTTTTGAAATGTTCATCTCGCGTAGTAAAGAGCGATACAGTTTATGTTATTACAGTAATTAAAAACTATACCTAGGAGCATCTATTCTCTTTGCTTTGAAAATAATAAAAAAAAAGATAAGTTGTAAATCAAGATACAAAGCTTTCTTGAAACGCATTTGTCGCCAAGTGCTTTTTAATAAATGCATATTCCTATTTAAATTCTATCAGAAAGAAGGTTTGTCCAATTATCAATATTAGATTATATTACATAATTTGAAAATATCATTTCTTTTTTATATGCGATAACGTTGCTCAAATGTCGTCAGTTTATTTAGTATTTCGAAGCAGTAATTTGTATTTGAACAATAATACATTTCAAGTGTTTATCTCGAATTTAAAACCCGCCGTAGAGTACAAATGTTCTGTCGATTCCATTTAAATATGAAAAGTATATAAGACAACTGAATATTGATAGAAACAGATTTACTTTATTTTGGGGCTAAAAAAGAAGCAATAAATATGTTCATCGCCAAAAAATTGTATTTTTCTAATTTAAATTAGGTTTTTAATGATGGTAAACAAACCTTTTCTAAAGCGCAACCATGTTACAAATAGGCCGGCTAAGAAGACAAATCCAATAGCAAAACTGAGGTATTGTGTTGAGGAACCGTTCGTCTCATCTTGAATACAGAAATAAAAGTGGAAACTAAACTATTGTATTGAGTATATTATTACGGTTGATAAAAAAACATAATGTGAGAGACAGGTAACTTCAAATGATTTTCTCCCTTTGTTCTCTTTTTAATTTCTTTTACTTGCTATTTGAAAGAGACATATTTGATTTTTTTGTATATTATTTTTCACATAAATCAGGTCGTTTGTTTTCTTGTTTGAAATGTTTTACAGATGAATTTATGTCATCTCGGGGCCTTTTTATGACTTACTATACGGTATGCGTTTTACTCATTGTTGCTCATGGTTGCCACCCATACGATTTTCTATATGTTAGATTCTATGACACTTAGTCTCGGTTGCATATTTGAATCATTGGTTATCATACTACATCTTCTTTTTTTTACATACACTGAAATTATTAATTGATTATTACATACTCTATTTTGATTTGTTCTGCAGAGTATACTATTTAATATACATTTTGTCTATGTTTGGAACGATTGTTGTGTCCATGATTTTAATTGTCCGTTTTTTCTCAAGTTTAAGCTGAATTCAAGACCTTGCAAAATTGATATTCAGTTGTTTTCGTAACGTCTTGTTATAAGCTGGCTATGCACGTTTGTATGTCATTCAACTAAATCAAGTATTAAGAAAAACAACAACATATATAAACGAGATCGATCCTTTATGGTTCAGTCTCCTTGTACGATAAATATATAACTTAATGGTTATGATTGGTAACATATTTGTTACGTTTGGAGGACGTGTTTTTCAACAAACTATCGGCATTCCAATGGGAACCAATTGTGCCCCTCTTCTTGCCGACTTGTTTCTTTGTTCTAATGAGGCTGTTCCTTATGTCGTTACTACAATAAAGCTCCCTTTTTACGAATGTGACCTACCGAATTAGACTTTTTATCGGGTTTGTAATAACATGAGCAACTCGACGGGTGCCATATGTGGAGCAAGATCTGCTTACCCTTCTGGAGCACATGAGATCACCCCCAGATTTTGACGGGGTTCATGTTGCTTAGTCTTTACTTTTCTATGTTGTTTCTTGTGTACTAAGTTTTGTCTGTTTTTCATTTTCTGTTTTAGCCATGGCGTTGTCAGTTTATTTTCGATCTATGAGTTTGAATGTCGCTCTAGTATCTTTTGCCCCTCTTTAAATGGTAGCTGTTTAATGAATAGTATGTACATTGTATGCCTTTATTATTTCCAGCATTTTTTTCACATCGGCGTACTAATATACCTTTAGTAAATTTTCTATAAATATCCGTTACAGTACTATTTCCAAGTTTGTTAATAGCATACATTCGCAATTCGTATTCAGTGTTTGGCTTTAGGTTCTGGATGACATAGGGTTTACAAAGGTTTCTAATTTCAAGGCTTATCCATGGTCCAGCTGATGCTTTTCTATACTCAATAAGGATCTTTTGCGCGCTACCGCCATTAAATCCGGGTTTGAATTCTACACGAATTTGATTTGTTGTTGAATGCAAGCGAATATTCGTTGGTTCGTCTGGTACTCCTGTAAAGGAAAAGACAATCTGGCAACCACTAAAAAGACACAATTCATTTTCCACATAGAATCAAATAATGTGTTTGTGTTTTGCTTGCAACTTGTATAGTATAACTGGAATATATACTTTCAGTTGATTTCATCTATCGCATGCTAATACATGTTTGGTTTTATTAAATATTTGAATGTATCCAACATCATGAACACTGTTCTACTTCGTATTTACAAAATTAAATAAATTTTAATTTCGTGGTTTTTGACAATGTCTGCATACAAGCCTATAGTAATTTTGCCATTCGTTGAACTTTTAATTTCGTGGTTAACATATAACCACGAAATCCACGAAAATTGGTATCCAACGAATAATAATGAATCCACAGTATATATATATATATGAAGGCATGTAAACAGAGCATGTGATGTAGCACAGAGATACCCTTATGTTTTCTAATCCAACTGGCAAACATCTTAAGTCTTTCGAACAAAGTTTTATCAAAAATAAGCATTTTACATTATGAGATATTGATAACATTTTCGCCATGTCAATTATGTACAGTTTTATTAACATTTTTTTAAAGAATCTATTTCTTAATACATACTTGCAGACACAAGCGATATATTGAAAGCGTTTTGACCATAATGATTGGTGACCCTCACGGTATAGTTTTGAAAATCATCCTCTGTTGTATTCTTTATCACATACTCGCATTCAAACGAAGATACACTGATTATTTCTCCGAAAGTCTCAGCTTCGTTCACAGATGGAACACAACTTCTATTGTCAAGATGAATTTGTCTCTCGTCATACCAATCTGCTTTTAAACCTTTTGAAGAACTAAAAACAGAAATGCTTATACTGGAGGTCTCACCAAAATGACCAATATGCTTGTATTTCTTTGGATTAACTAAAACCGGTATTCCTGAAATTAAATGATGAAGATTTATTAGAAAGATGTTGAGTCATTAATGATATAAACAATCAGGTATTTGCCTATATTGACATTTACAGATTATTGATGTACCCTTTTGTTGTTTAATTGCTAATCATAAGGAAATGTTACAAAAAAATTCCAGCTTTCCCCCTCGTTTTATTAATTTTTGTGCTTAATAGATGGAGGGTTCTTGCATGCAGTTCTAGCAATGATTTTCCCCAAACAATGAAAAAATAAATAAATATATCGATTTCATCAAGAATAAAGAAAGACATTTTCAACTATACCTTCTAGGGCAAGCTCGACTTTAGTGTCACGAGGTTTGTTGGACCGTAACGGTTGTTTAGGACTTTTTGTAGACAATAAACGTTAGTAATTTATATTTACAATTTTATAACGAAAATGTGGTATTTAACAGTACAGTAGTGAGGCCTGATTTAAATAACGTTTCCCTTTGGTATATTTACAAATAGGATGTCACTTTTAATCTCTGTTTTTACTGTTCAAATATTGTAGCAATTAATTGAAACATTTCGTCATAAACAGGCATTCAGAAGGGGTCATAAACCTTAACGCTCATTGGCAAATATATCATGCATATTTTGCGTCAAAATATTAGGTCAGCGTTTATATCTAATATTCCTGACATAATCATGGTCATTAGTTGATACATTGTATCTAGGGTCGGATTTTAACATTCATTCAACTAGACGAGAGAATGAAAAAAAATTAAGATAACATGTTCTGTTATCGTTCATGGTCACATGAGATAATCCTCAATTTTTTTCGTGAATCTTGTTGCTCATACAAATAAGGTCTGTATATATGCAATATTAATTGTGACATCTTGAGGATGATCCTGGGGCCTCATTTATTATTCGAAGTTGGGTCATTGACACCATCCATGTGATATCCTTTTATCCTGGGCGACCTGTTATTCACAATATTGGTCTTTTGTTTACTATTTTGGTATGCTGTTGATCAACCGATTTTGTAGCTACTTCGGGTAAAATACTGTCCATTTGAAGAAGTTCCGACCCGGTTGTATAGTAAACTGAAGGAAACAGTTGTTTATCGATGTTCTTATATATCACCAAACTATCCGTTTGATTGTGCGATCTGGTTTTTTTTAACTTTTTAAAACCCATAGAGCGAAATCGCAAAAGTTTGAAAGAAAATGGGAAAAGAAAATCATTTTGTAAATTCGGCTCCCAATTATCGCGTTTTTTGTTTTCGTCATATGAAAAAGTAGGCGTAAATTCAAAACAGCCGCAGCCAAGTGTATATAAAAAAAAATAAAATCACAAAAATACTGAACTCCGAGGAAATTTCAATCGGAAAGTCCCTAATCACATGGCAAAATCAAATGACAAAACACATCAAACGAATGGACAACAACTGTCATATTCCTGACTTGGTACAGGCATTTTCAAATGTAGAAAATGGTGGATTGAACCTGGTTTTATAGCGCTAAACCTCTCACTTGTACGACAGTCTTATCAAATTCCGTTATAATTACAACGATGCGTGAACAAAACAGACATTATAATTAAAGGGTGCCGATTAAACACAGAATTACCGAATTTAATGAAAATCAACCAATACGATTCAAATAACAGTACGATGTGCTATTTTGCTTGCATATTTGGTAAGTGAGATAATATGTTATTTCACATATTTACTTATTCTCAAGGTCAAAAAGCGCTACTTTACCTTCAATCTTCACAGCAATCTTTCCTGTCTGCCATAAATTTCCACTATCATCCGGAATGCCGTTGGTTACATTGCATATGTAAATGCCGATATCCTCGTACCAAAGGTCATTATAATCTCTAATTGGTAAGGTTAGCGTTTTATTGTTAGTATTTGTAAACATTCTAATCAGCTGGTTGTGATAACTGTAATGAAACCAGCTGAAATTGTACATATTTGGTGCACCTGACACCTCACACTCCAGAGTTCTTAGTTTATCGCTATCATTAAATGTAACATTTTCACATCGAACAATTGGAAAATCTGAAAAAGATACACTATTTACTTTGAAAACACGATCAAATGCTACCACAATCATAGAGTATTCGTAACCTATGCCTAAATTAAAGGAAATCAATATATATCATATATCTAAATAAATGCATGTATTTGATCTGTACCATTATATGGTAGGCATAATGTTAGACTTTTCTATCACAATCACGATAATTTGGAATAAGCAAAGGCTGTATATTTTTGTAAGTTGCAAATTACATAGGATTAGACTTATCATCGGATTAGGACTTACATCAGTAACACAAATGATGCTGCATGTGGAGAATGATCTGCTTACCGTTCCAGAGCACCTTAGACTGATTTATTTTTTAAAATAATTACGTTTTTCTGAGTTTGTGACATCATTCATATAGATTAGATGTAGAATCAAATATAATTGAAAATATTAAATGGGGTATGTGTTTTAGAGACAACAACCGGACTAAAGAGCAGGATACAGCCCAAGGACACCAATGGATCATCAACACAGCGAGATAATAACGGCCCTCAACAAAATTGTGTATTAGTTCAGTATAAATTGACGTCACGCTAAACTCCGAAATATATAAATGAACTAAGATTAAAAAATATATAAGACTTACAAAGGCTAGAGGCTCCTGACTTGGGACAGGCACAACAGTGCGGCGGTGTTAAACATGTTAAACATATGCCAAAAACACATCAATAATGTTTTGATGCGCAATATGCTGACGAGAAACAACGTAGATATATATTTTTATTTCAAGAGCAAACTAATGTGTCTTATTCTAGAAAGAGCTATTACGTTGCGTTGCTTTCCTTCTTTGAAGAAAGCAAGTGATATTGTGTAAGAAAAAATATATATATATTGTTATTTCAAAAGCAAACTAATGCGTCTTATTCTAGAAAGAGCTATTACGTTGCGTTGCTTTCCTTCTTTGAAGAAAGCAAGTGATATTGTGCAAGAAAAAATATAAATCTATATACAAAAAACGTTATTTTTATTTGTACTCACAAGTTACAGTTATATTTACAGCTTCATAGTCTGTACCAGCTTTATTTCTTATTATGCAGGTATACTCGCCAGATCTGTCAGGGTTTATTTGTTCAATCACAACCTTGTTTGAATCATTTTGTAATAACATCCCATTAAAGAGCCATGTCATCTCGGCATGTTCATTTTCTTCAGATTTATCCTGACATTTTAGTTGCACGTAATGACCCTGTCTTACCTGTATACTCATTCGATCTTTTCTTTTACTTGAGTTTTGAAAAACGGTTATCGTCACTTCAGGTTTTACTGCAAAACATATTAACGAAGTGTTCGCACCAAACGAACAATTGGTTGTTCTTTGGTTAAGATCCGTACAGTGCTAATCAATATTATTATTGTTATATCCATATATATATTGGATACAAAGGAAACAATATGAATGTACTGAAATATTTAGATGGAAGTTATCCTTCTTTTTCTGTTGTGAAGACGTCTAAAATAATAATTCCATCGTATTTCCATAGAAATAACGAAACAACATTAGTGTATTGAATTAATTTTAAAAAGAAATAGAAGTATTCATCCCATGAATGACCATTTTACTCTTTACAAAACCAGTATGTTTTTTAATATATAAAATATTTCCACAGATATACAGAATATTAAAGTTGCTACAACACAAAACGTACAGTTGCTACTTGAGACAATAATGTCATAATGTTGAAATGCAACTAAAAGAAAAAAAGAATAAAGAAGATGCTAAAAAAATGTGAAACAAAATTCTAATCATAATGTAAGATACATTTTCAATTAAATCAATGATATCCGAACAACTTCACTACTTACATATGAGATTAAGTTGTACACGAACTTCTAGTGGATAAATGTCTTTCGTATTGTTTGCCATACAAACAAATTCCTTCATATTGAAAGATCGATTCGCTTTAAATGTATAATTCAAAGATGAAGTGCTGCCTACACTTAGTAATTCATTGCTTCTTGTCCAAAAAAGAGTATCACCAGGCATACCTCCTAGAACACTACATGTTAAGGTAACATTGAATCCCTCTATGCCACGAATAATAGAACTGTCAGCATCAAGTATCTTAATGGCTGAAATATTATTCAAGGAAGTTAAAAATAATGTGCACATGAGGTGCATGCTTTAAAACTGAAGCACCTCTCAAACTAAGATAGTTTATTATAAGTACGTATTGCGATTTAAATATTATTAAAACTATGTCTTTCCGAACGTTTCTGTGCCAAGCTGAGATGTCGCAATAATGTTATTTTCTTTTGTCTATTACATGTAGAATGATATGCTTTCATAATAGATGAAACGTTTCTACAGACAAAACTTGATGCATTTTTATACGACAAACCATCGATATATGGCTAAGGATAGGAAGTGTATTTTTTGGTAGGTCTTATCATCAAAACAATTGCATAAATAAAATGCCCGAGCGAACTGTTATATAAATAACACACCTTTTACGAATAAATGTATTTAATTCATGACATGTATCAGATGTTCAACTTAACTTTATTGTTCATGAACTAAGTATGTCAATCAAATCATGGCGTTTTCTATGACAAAACGTTTCTAATTTTCTGAAAATGAACTCATCGATCAGATTTTATAGTAGGATTTTATTTCTGTATACATGTACATGTAAATGAATGGTTGCAGTGATATTTTAACCAAGGTTAAAAGAGAAGATAGCGATTTATGTGTTATTGAAGTGTGTTTCCCATCCCCCGAAAATTCCTGAGTAGATATGTAATTGCAAAATCGTGTTCGAGGTACCATTTTGCCTGCTTCTGTAAACTAAACATAACATAGGACGTGTAGTTTATGGTTAAGTTTTTAAATCTGACTAGTTTTAGCTAAGGTAAGGCCCACTTTCCCGTATTTATGTTTTTATTCATTGGTGTGTATGCATTTTCTTAAAATTATTTGGAAATAATTTATGATTCGTCTTCTTCTAGTGTTATTTAAACAATAACAGTGCATTATATTTATGGACACGTTTTCATCATACAATATTTCGGTCATGATCAGCAGAAATATTGATATAACTGAAGAAGAATTAACAAAATTATCGATATTATTCGCGTCTGAATTTATTTGAAAAAAATACTACTTACTTCGAGGCTGGACTCTTATTTGGTAATTTTCTTTATCGTTTGTATTAGTATTTGCCACGCAGAGGTATGTGCCGAGATCGTCAGTCGTAAAATTGTCTATTTTAAGTTGACATTCTGAAGTAACTGTAATTCTGTCAGATACATTTAAAGCTGGATTAATTCCATTTTTGCTGCTATCGCCATTTTCGCATAGAGCAAGTAATACTTTGGATTCACAATATTGCCAGGAGTTTACGTCATCATTTGGGCATTTTATTATCACATCAGTACCGGGAATAACGTACATCGTTACTATCTCAGCAGCTTGCAATCCTTGTGACAAACATCAAATTCAAAATACATTTTAATACAAAATATAATGTAATTTTAACTATGAAAACCTGTTGCAGATTTAAAATAGAAGAAAACATGCATCCTTTTTAGAGGTACGATTTTGAGTTCGAATGTTTATTTCTTAACTACAGTGATGTGATAAAATGTATTGTCACTCAGTTTCTCCGTCGTTTGACTTTCAATGGCTTACACAGATTGCATAGTTGTATTACTATAAAGATAAAATATATAAGGAGAGCAGGTAGTCCCAACCATAGCTTGAATACAACGATATTATGAATGCTTACCAATCATGATTTTTTTTTTATTATACATGTAGCAGTATTTTTCCTTCTTTTCAAAACAATTGCAAATGAAGGTCAGTTCTTGAAGTAATTGTGGAAAACTACTTTCCGTATGCTTGAAACCTTACTTCATATTATTATTTTAATAGTATATATTTTCAATAATGCATGTATAAATCAATATAACAAGTAAGATACCTGGATGTGCCGAAAACACCAACAACAAGTGTAACAAAGAACCAAACGCCGCTTCCATATCTAAAAACAAGCGTTTTGTTAAATATTTCCATTAGTATACAGTATTTTACAAATTATGAATTTCAAACTATTGCATTTAATACAAATATTATGTTTAAGAGACAATGTATGTAACTGATTATAAACTATTATCAATGAAACAATCACTGCATGAATTCATTACATTACTTATTGTTATACTTAAATATGCCTACAAATATATATAGGAATATGTGGTATGAGTGCCAATGAGACAACTCTCCATCCAAGTCACAATTTATAAAAGTAAACCATTATAGGTCAAGGTACGGTCTTCAACACGGAGCCTAGGCTCACACCGAACAGCAAGCTATAAAGGGCCCCAAAAATTACTAGTGTAAAACAATACAAACGGGAAAACCAACTGCTAATCTATATGAAAAACGAGAAACGAGAAACACTTATATATTTATGAACCACATAATAAACAAACGACAACCACTGAACATCAGATTCCTGACTTAGGACAGGTGCAAACAATTGCAGCGGGATTTAACGTTTTAATGGTAACAAACCTTCTCCCTTTTCTGAAACAGTAGTATAACATCACAACATAGAAAGACACACTATAAAATATCAATTAGAATGACTTAACTCAACCAAAAAACGTAGTGACACAAATAAACACACAATGAACGAATAAATTTGATTACATACCTTTTCACTGTTGTTTATTTAAAAAAGTGTGTTTTGTTTCTCCGATTCATAGACAAGATGATGGTAGATCTAATATAAAAACTACAAATAAGAGAACACTTCATTGACATGACTTAATTTCTATCTAAAAAGATATCAAATATCAGAAGATGAGCGCTGGTATCATTTTCGGCCGAATGCTTTAATACTTCTTGATTATAGAAAAAAAAAAGAGATTTTCAAACAAAAATTGTGTTGTTACCTTTTTTCAGTTTGTTTTTCGTACATTACAACGCGTAAAACATTCCAAAAGAAAAAAAAGCAAACGGCAACAATTATGACAAAACAATTAACGAAAAACAGTTATAGCAGACAACAAACAATGAATATTAATGAATTGCAGGCACTTTACGTAGGACATGCACATAAAGAACGAACCAGTTTAAAACATGATTGTGAGCGCTCAACCTTTCCCCGAACCATAGACCGTGGTGTAAACATTGATCGTATCTAATTACACATAGAATAAGAAGATGTGGTATGAGTGCCAATGAGACAACTCTCCATCCAAGTCAAAATTTATAAAAGTAAACCGTTATAGGTCAAAGTACGGTATTCTACACGGAACCTTGGCTTATACACAGACTATACACTATTCCACCGTTAAAATGGTCTCACATTCAAACAGGAAGGAATGAGACTGACAAGTATTTCTTTGTCAGAAAACAATGAGCATAATTCATAGTTTAAAACAAATTAGAATGTAAAAAGCTAGGCGTAAAATTGTGAAAACTCCTGATCATGAGTCAACTGATAAATCGACCACGTTGCTTTGACGTTAGAAAATGTCCTGCAGGTCAATAGTGCCGTATACAGTTTCTCTCTATCTTATATATTTTCCACAACAAAACATTAGGGTTAAAAACTGGTTTTCACGTGCAATAATTCCTTTACGGAGTCGACTGTCGGTTTCGGCGTTAAAATATATGTGGATCTTGCATACTGATTAATATTGATGTTTTCAGTTTCCATCAATCTAAGAGAAAAAAAGACTTCATTTATGCACATTGGAGGATGAAGCTCATTTTATTCTATACTGTAGAAAAATTGTAAACTAAGAAATAACTTTATAGGAAATGTAGTTAAACATATGCCAGATTTTATGTCCTGGCAAGAAAATGAGAAAATTAGATATCTTCTTTGCCCATCAACCTCAAAAGAAGCAGGCATTAGAAGTGAGGACAGGGGACTCTTGATTTATTTATATTAAATAAATATATAAATTGATTGTTTTGCTTTTTAACTTTTTATGTTTTATATATAGGATACATGTATGTTTTCCTATGTTTTGTTTGTGAAATGTATTTTGTGTATGTTTATATAATGTGTCACAAACTTAGTGTTTAGAGTTTATATGACACTAAGTATTTGAATTGAATTGAATTGAACTATAACAGCTTCTAACAGAGATGAAAAATGACAAGAAATCGTATATGTATGAGATTAACTCATTTAATGAATCAACTGACGATTTCGGCCATATTAACTTATTTGTTGATTATTTCCTGATGATGATTTTCGGTGTTACAGTTTCCCTCTGTCTATTATAGTTTACATCAGAGGTTGTTAAAAATGTGAAAATCATCAACAAGGAGTCGTCTAACAATTTTTGTGAAATCAAGGTATCTCGTTCTTGACATTCCGAAATTTTCTGCACTTTCAGATTTTCTCTAAACTTTTCTATAACG